TAGTTAATTAGGCTTAGATTTTTTAGGATGTTACAAATAATGCTTCTACTCTTTTTTTTCTATTTAACCAAAGTATACATAGTTTTCTAGAAATTTCATTAGGAAAATTACTTTAAGGTTATACTCAAGACAATTAATTACTCCCAAGTCCAGACTGAACCCAGGAGTAATTAACTGTCTTCTATGGGACATGTGTGATTAGACCTAAAATTAATTAATTATCTTGAATGCAACTTGTATGTCATTCTCCTAATTTCATTTCATTCAGAATATAGAATCTTGAGTACTCCTTTTAGTTTTTTATTATAAGATACTTTTAAGTTTTAACTACTTTACTAGAGTAAAAAAAATAATAGTTAATTAAGGAGACTAGCTTAGAATTTATGACACCCCAAGGATTCGAGAATAGGAGAAGCCATGATTTAGAATGAGATTGGTGATCTTTGGCCGGGTTACGCCTCATGATTGGTAAGGTTGGGTAGTCAATTCACACAAACAAGGCTCTATTTGAATTGTAGCCCACTATTTCAATTGAAAGATATCAAGAGGATATAAGGGTGGTTCAATCATATAAATTATCCGATGTGTCACATAATTGTTAAGATTGTGGCAAGTGTGATTATTGAATTGCCATTTCTACATGGTTGTTATTATTGTGGTAATGAGCACTATGATGTGATTGTAAAATGTATGGTGATTTTACATGTATGCAATATGAATTATGCTTATGTAATTGTAATTCTTGTGTATTTATGTTTAGTGTCAATTAATATGCAATTGCATGAGATAAACATACTTTGGTATTAAGTGGTCGTACTCACCCCTCTCTCTTAACATTTTATAGGCTTTAGCTCGAGTATGGATAAGGGAAAAGTTTCAAAGGCTTAGGAATTTGATGTTCCCACTGTAAAGCCTCCCAACTTAATTTATTTTTGTGTAATTGTAAGATATTGCCAGATAAAAATGCATTTTAAGTACACTTGCACTATAGAGATTTTTATAATTTGATTGTTGTATTTTAGGCTTGAAATGTTGTATGTAAATTTGATTACTTCTAATAGGGAAAAATATTAATGAAAGTGCAGGGGAAGTTGTGATATTTTTAAAGCTGAATCAATTTGAAATTATGCCATGATGAAAAAAAATGAGATATTATTATCATTATGTGCATGTGGTAAGTTGAACATGTTATCCTAAGTTCAATAAATATGGTCTAGCTGTTAGATGTAGTTTTTGGCACATATGCTAAGTTTTTGGATACCCTTATGATGTGAAGAGCATGAAAATTGTAGAAAATGCATTTGGGATCCAACACTTATGTGTGTGAAATTATTTAGAAGTAAAATGCATGCCGTTAACTAGTTTATATAAAATGCTTTTTGTAAATACCTAAATTATCTCAATTGGACATTAAAGGAAGAAATACGATGCACCAAAAGTTGCCCCCAATGTTATTATATGACAGCACAATATTGTCAAATTCTATGCAGCGTGCCGAGGCGCATGGCTCCTATGCTATGCCACACGACACAAAGAAGAACAAGCTACAGTGCGTTCTTTTGTTTTTATTCCCATTTGATGTTTTTCAACTAGTTTCAAGTTTTTTTGACTACCAAATGATATCTCATGCTTCTGTATTCATTTATAATTAGTTTTTGACTTAATAAGTCATTTTCAATTGTTTTTAGTAAAATTTATACTTGGGAACCCAATTATTGAAAGAAACACTTTTAGTTTTTGAATTACTTTTAAATGGTTAATTATGGTCAGGTAATCCTCTTAGGTTGATACCAATGATTACTGGTGATGTGTTTGATTTAAAAGTAAATTAATAAGGGTGACCTTATAATTTGCATGATGACCATAAAGGTTTATTTTCAAAAAATTATGTAAATGCCTCCCTCAATTACTTTTGAATTAAGGAGTTGACGGTTGAAATTCGTGATATGTGTGATTTTGGTATGTTATGGTGTGTTGCATTAGTTGTCTAGAGTCTATTTATTGTGGTATGGGTGTTAGGTTGAGCTTTTGGCACTTAAGTTGGCATTTGGACACCCGGGTTGTGTTAAGTGTGAAAATGTAAATGGTTGGCATTTAGGTGTTCAGCCTTTTGATATAAAATAATTTGGAAATGAGGTCAATACTATTAGTTAGTTCTTGAATGAGCTTTCTATAGTTAACTATATCACCTCAGTTGGACAGCTTCTGCTGTCATTTTCTCCATTTTCGTCCCTACGTTGATAAGGGTCGTCATCCTTGGAAGCTGTTCTTGCTTCAGTTGACCTGACAGATGTTGCTTTGGTCCAAACTCTCTTGTCTGTCGCTAGCGAGCTCGTCTATTACTTCTCGAGGCGTTCGTAGGAAGTATTTTTATTTTATTTTATGTCTAGATCAGATTTATATTTGTTTGGATTTCAAACATGGAGTTCTAAGAAAATCTATATAACTTGATCCGAGATCGACGAGTAAACCAAGTGAAGCGAGTCTGATTTAAACTTGATCTTGTCAGCTGAATATGTGAGCGGATAGTAAATGTGAATTAGAATTGCGAAGAAATATAAAGTGGAACCTAGAGTGTAGTAACTCTTTATCTCTAATAGCAAATAGCTATTGGAGGCTTGTTATTGGAGATAGAAGCATGAGGATTTGTTTATACTCTACAATCTTCCATTTTTAACAGCATTAGATTTGATTGTGGTGACTTCTTCAGTTTTTCCTTACCTTTTCACATTATCCTCCCTCCCTTTCCTTCTCTCGTGTGTGTGTGTGTGTTTGAGGTAGAAAGAGGCTCATGCCCAGCCATGGTTATCGCTGAAGTTGAAGATGCACTTGGTCTTCTTCTTCCACGTTCTTCCACTATGATGTCAACTCCTAAGATGATGGAGAAGGGAAAGGGTGGGTCAAACTAAACGTAGAGGGTGCAAATAGGGAAAATCCAAGCTTATTGGAGACCATAATTTCTTTTAAAGATGTTTGATATATGAAAACCCAGTTCTTACCATAATTTCATTTGAGAAGAAAGCATACGTGTCAGGCCGATTGCTTAAAGGCCATAATTTTGATGTAATCAAAATAGTAGTTACTCATATGCCTTCAACCTGATATGCAGGATCCAATGCGATGCACTCAAGAAGTGAACTAAAAAGTTAAGGTTCAAGAGTTGGCGAATGATGAGACTGAGATACCCACCATCACCAGAGAACAAGCACAAGGAATGGATACATGGGGTTGAGATAGAACACAACAGAGACAGTAAAGAAAGGAAATCATCATGAAGCGTGGAGTAGAGTTGGGCAACCATATTCTGATAGATAGAAAGTAATCCATGACCTATAGAAAAGACAATGGATTGAGATATTAGAAGTTCCATATTTGCATAACTTGAAAGTAACAAAATGAAACATGTAATGGGATAGGAAGTGTGTAGTAAGGAGTGACAAACCAAGGGCAATGGAAGGAAGGAAGGAACGGACTGCAGAAGACTGCAGGATATTAAATGCAACAGAGGAGGAGATGCGGAAGCAACCAGAGACCATTTTCATTTGTGAATGAGTGATTGAATGGGGGATCAAGGGGTATTAAAAAGATTCCTTTTGAATTCAAAAAAAAGGAGAGAAGCTGCTGAAGTGAAATTGAGAGAATGAAAAAGAGTGGTTCTGATTTTGAAGAAGAGGAGGGAAGGAGGAAAAATTAATCAACCGATGTCATGGAGCTCAGAGCGAGCTGTTACTATTAATCTAAGCTGGTACTATTCATCTCACAGTGAAATGTGAGAAGAGCCATTTAGAAAGACCAGCTAGTGGCGGTGGTGGTGGTGGTACTGATGATGATTAATATTAATGAATTTTTGTTAAAAATTAACTTTATCCTTAAAAATAACTAACAAGAGAGGGTTGGAGATATGGTTCCCAGACTAACGAACATAAATGCCGAAATGTTACGAGTCAAAAAGAAATTACAACATTCGGAGATCCGAATAACGAACCTTTCACTTAGATGAACAGATCTCCAGCCTTGGAAAAAAAAACAAAAAAAACCCGGGGGGGGGTGGTCCTGAATAAATTCAACCAACCCATTACTGATTGGACCATAAAAGCGAGCTATGGGTGTTTGTAACCTGTTCTGTGATTAATAAAACTGTCTTGTTTCGGCCATGCCAAGATATCCTTGATGAACTCAGAAAACTGATCGGAAGGGTTTGCCATATTGCTTTTAATTTCACGCATGGCGAATTTATTAGCCGTGCTGATGCCTTGGCAAAATTAGCTCAAATTAGGAATAATCATTCTTGGACATTTGATCAATCACCACTTTCCTATAGAAGAGTCGGTGAAAAATGAAAATAATGTTTTGCTGAATCTTGTATAATTCTATTTTGGATGTTAGTTATCATTTCCACTCGGATCGATGATTGAGATTATATCGTAACAAGAAAAGTAAGGAACCCTCCAATGAGCGTTCATAGCAATACAATCTGCACGAGGCCCATCCCAGTGAGAGTGACATTTCTTAAGTCTTGAAAGAGCAGCCACAGGAAGGCGGATGTCTCGTATGATCGGCCAAAATAAAATTCATTCTCAACGCAAGAAAGGGTAGAAAAGAATCAACAAACTTAAAACTTCTAAACAAGGTAACAAGGTCACACACCCAATGCAAACGACAAACCTGTTAAGAGGTACATATTTCAAGTATCACTGACACTAAGTTGAGTTTTAACTTTTTAAGTATATTACTGAGATAAATTCTCTAAATGGGATTAAGTTTATTGTTCTTGCATTAACATAAAGATAAGTGGCCCCTGATCCTGCACGAGGCTACGACCTTCCCTATGGTGATTGGCAGCGATGTTCTTTTTATTACTCAATGGCTAATTTGTTTTGGTCCAAACAAGGTCCCTCACTCGGACAAAGTGGTCCATTAATCTGCCAGAACCCATGCGCGCTTCAATTCACCGGATCATACGTTCGATTGCATCTTCAATTTATGAAGCGAAGAATCCATACACAGAACAGAACGTCTAATTTTATCATATAAAAGAGCTGAGCGGCCCCGTCATACATCAATTTGCTTGATACGAAAAACGTGAGGATACACAATGTTTCTACATACAATGAAGAGATTCACAACATTACAAGAGTTCAAAGCAGAACCCTCACCTAGCTAAACTTGCCGAGTTGCTTGGAAAGAAAGAAAAGAACCGGTAATACTGTAACATAATAGTACAACATAGTAATATACAAATAATATAATTCACTTGTCACAGTCAAATTACATTTACATACTATTTATTTGCCACACAGACCAGGCAACGCGCCTGCTGTTTCATCCACTATTATTGTTGAAAGAGAGCTTCTGGTCATGTGAGAAGAGAATGATGAATTTGAACAAGGTTGGTATAGCAGCCATATAAATATATTCTTGAACAAATGGTTATCCCAACCCATGCTTTAGCGTTTACGCAAGGAATCGCTTCATATTTTTTATCTGCTGAATGCACTGAAATCAAAAGTTAATTACGAATCAACAATAGAAAGGTAAGACTCTTCAATCAATTATACAATTTACAGAAAAGTAGAAAACAGAAGATAGAGAAAACACACTTCATGTCTCTAGCCTTCTAATAGAAGAACAAAGATTCAACAGCTACAACACTGGAACCAATATGAAGACATGAATCATGTCTCTGACTCCTCAGGCTCTCTATCAACGGCAGCAATTCCTATGACTTCCAGTATTAAAGAGATACCAACATTTTCAAGATGATTGTTTAGTTAATAATTTAATTTTAATTACAGGGGCGAGAAAGAAAGTTAGATGCAGACACAACTATAGAACCTTGCAGTTAATTATAAACTTTAGACTACTCTGTAAATACATAGCAATCATAAGTGCACAGATGCCAAACATAAACATGCACTCCTTTAGATATTTTATCAAAGATGCCTGTGCTGCCAAATATACTTAACATGGATTTAGTGGCATCAATATTGTTGACACACAACCAGCAAAACATGATGAAAGATGAAATAGATAACATGTTGCCTAAGATTAAAACTTTTTTGCCCCAATAGTGTCCCATGTTTTCTGAGCATTATTTTCTCATGGGGAAAAAAATGCACAGGCATATTCTGTGTAAAATGAAAATACACACACACACACGCAGACAAAACTTAATTGTGCGGGCAACAAAAAACTGCTTAAATTTCATATGCTATCAATTGTTACAAATGTCAACATGGACCTCAAAACATATGTTTTCCTCCAAAAGAACTCATGAAAGTACATAGATTATTTAATTACCAATATGGGACTGACACAATATAATATTTTACAAAAAATTCAATTTGAAAAGGACCTTAAATCTCATTCCACAAGTGAAACAAGTCCATTAGCAATGTGCCGTCTCTTGATGAAAGTTTTGCCAAGAAAGCAATATCTTCAGAAATCCTACTTCTGGTTGCACCGGTCCAACCAATAACATCCTTCTAGAACACTACTAGTCCCATAAGAAAACATAAACTTGACAATATCTTCTACAGCTAACATCAACAATGACTCTCATCCGACTAAGTGAAATATCTTCTTTGACTAGTGACAATAATTTTTCCCTCCACCTATGACACATCAACCTCTATTTAAAGAGGAAGCCAGATAAGTTTCTTATATCTATTTGATTAGCTGAAACACTTAGCTTTATCTCTTAAGTTGCAGTATGTGATATTAACATAAAATATGATACGCACAAGACCCATGAGGTACCCATCACTTAAGATAGTACGATTAGAAGAGCAGAGTAGTTCATCATCACAATAAACACAAAGCTTAAACTAATCTAAATAAAAAAAAATAGATTCAGATTAAACAACTAATTCAGATAAAAAAGAGAGATGAAATAATCTTCACAAAATACATAATGATAGTGATACTATAGGTGGGATTGTTAACATACGGTGGTCCCTGGTAGGGAATGAACAATCAGGCAGACTGTAGAAGGGCAGGATGTCCTCGTTCACCCAAGATACTATGCAGTGAAACAGTTGAACAAAAGCTAGTGACCTTGTGGAACTTGTTCACAGGTAGTGGCAAATGGGGCACTCTTCTCCAACTGCACCTGACCGACTTACTATCAATCTCACAAAGACAAGCTGGATATACCCTGTGATAATCTTCATTGAAAACATATACAAAATCCCCCAACCCCACGCATTTCAGACTTGCAAAATTGTCGTCCTCATCACTATCAAACAAGCTGTAAAGTAAATTATGGGGCATCACTGAAATCTCACTTAACTCCATCGTCTTCGTATCAACCTTCCACAAATGAAAGGACGGTCCAAGAGGTGCGTTACGAATACCAGCCAAAACAAGCACTTCCCTGCACGCAATTAAGAACGAGAAAACAACCCCAGGCGGCCTAAGCGTCTGAACCTCGCTCCAAACACGTTCACGCAAATGAAATGAGGAAATAAAGCACGAAGATATCCCAAGCACGTAAAATCGGCCTCCAAACAACGCCGATGACAACGACGACGACGAATTGCCAGATCTAAAATCCGCCGGCAAAGGAGGACCAAGCTCCCAAGAGTCCGAACGAGGATCGTAAATTTCCAAATCCAATCGCTCCTCAATATCAACCAAATTCCCGATAAACTTCACCCCGCCGACGACAATAAACTTAGGGGAGGAATCACTGCCATCACTGAAAACACCCAAAAGAGGGTTAGTCCGGGGAAAATGGAGCGGAGGAGTGGCACGCCAATGAGGATTAAGGGTTCGAGAATAGCAGAATTTGGGAGCAGTAAGGAAGAAAAAGCCATTAGTTCCCATGAAGGAAGTGATGGATGGTTGTTGGGGTTGGAGGGAGGAGAAGGCGGGAAGGCGAAGCCAGCGATTGGAGACGGGATCGAAGGCAAAGGACTGATTGTTCTTGGAGGAGATGTTGTGGAAACCGTAGAGGAAGAACCAGGGTTGGTTATGGTGCGAGCGAGAGTGGGTGACGGAGGAAAAAGTAGGGGAGGAGATAATGGAGTACCAGAGCTTGCAGACAGTAGAGGCGCGAATGAGAGTGGGGATAGGAAGAAAGGAGAGGATGAGCTCGATGAGGTCTGAGCTCAGGTGAGTGAACTCTGTCATCCGAGTGATGAGAGGAGAGAGAGAGAGAGATTTTTTCGTTGGGAAGATGATGGAATTAGGCGTGAACGGAAGATTAGGTCGATAGATGAGGGAGAGCACAGAACCGGAAGAGAGAGAGAGAGAGCGATGGCCTGGCTTCATTTATTTATGAGGCACCAGGGATCATTGACATGGCATGTAGTAGCTGGCAAGACAGGATTCAGATCCACATCTCCATGATCTTTCTCAAATACTTTGTCTAAAATTACTAAATTATCCAAAACCCCTCTCCTCATCCCTCCACCTAAACTTCCCGGGGATGGTTTCTTTCTACTGCCTTTTTCTTTCCCTACTTAGTCACTATAAATTTAAATCATTTAAATTAAATATATATTTTTAAAAATTATTAAATTTGAATTATCAAAATCAACTTAAGATTTCAAATCTATAGTGATCCTTCTTTTGCTCTCCTTTTCAAAGTTGGAAAATTAATTTTAAACTTTTATGGCTCGTTTGGTATAGTAGAATTAGGAGGAGAGAAGTGAAAATGGAAATAAAATCCTATGAATAAGATGTTTGGCATGCTAGATCCCATTTCTTTAAGGAAATTATTTCCATAAAAAATAATGGAACTCAAATCCTTTCCCATGCCCCATGGAATTGGGTTCCTCCTCTCACTTCCTTCCTTGTTTGCCATTTTTTTCCCTTTAAGTTTCTCCTCTCACTTGCAATGGTGCTTCAATCTCCTACAAATCCCTTGCTAGTGAAAGACTTTGATGGAGGCAACAGTGACACCTCTGCCATCAAAGTTGATGCCCATCGACTATGGAACAAGCTCATTGCCTAAATCATACTCATCTATCTCATTCTCAATGTCATCAAAATGACAATTAGCATAGCGATTGACATTATCAAGTTGGTCCTTTAGTTTTGGGCCATTGAAAATGAGGAAGGTGATAACAATTGTTGTTAATTGAGCCTGTATTAGGAGAAATAGACCAAGAAATCAAAGAAACCCACAAACCCAATCTCTTTTGAAGAACCTATCTTTCTTTTATTGCTGCTTGTTCCAATGAGTTGCTTCTCGACCATTTGACTTTCTCTTGCCATAGCTTCCCTTTTGGTCTCTTATCTTTCTGGACTTGATTTACTTCTTCTTCAAATCTCTTTCTCCTTCATCTTCTTTGATTTGCTTCAATTCTTTTGTGGCTTTTTGGTCTTTGATTTTTTGTCTGGAATAATGCAATTTTCTTTAGGATTAATTGTTATCGAGTTTTGGATTGATAATTTTCTGGAATGGTAGTTGTTAGATGAAGCTTCTTGGATTTTTTTTAAATTTTAGGGGTATTTTAGTCTTTTTTAAAATATAAAAAATAATATTAAATAAAATTTTTATCACATTTTCATCTACGTAACAAATATACTTTTAAACCTTACTTCCACCTCCTTTTCTGCTTTTACTTTCATTTTCATTTTCACTTTTCTTTTTACCAAAATCATTTCTCCATACTAAATAGGGCATTAGGAGTTGACTTCTCACCTTTGAGTCTTCCCTCCACTACCCCTCTTTTGCACCACATGGCAAGATTTGGATGGTTCAAATTAAGCATGGAAGCTCCAATTTTTTATATTTTTAAAAATAAAATTTTATAATAATTATAAAATTTTTAATAATTTTATTCATCACCAATTTGGACAATACATATTTAATTTGGCCATTCTAATCTAATACTCCCTCCATCCCAAATTATAAAACACTTTTAGATAAAATTTCACATACAAATGAACCCCATTGAATACACTTAACAACCTTATCTTTTCAAAATAAAAATATAAATTTTTTAAAATACCCATCATTTAATATAATGAAAAAAGAAGTGATGGAAATTAATTATAGAGAGAGAAAGGGTAATATTGAAATTGGAGCATTTAATGAAACCTCAATCTATTCAAAGTGTTTTATAATTTAGGATGGAGAAATTTTTTCAAAAGTACCTTATAATTTTAGACAAAGGGAGTATTAAATTTGAATTATCCCCATTAAATTTGAATTGCCAAATTGGTGATCCAGCAAAATTATTAAATTTTTAATAATTTTTAATGTAATAAATATATATATATATATATAGTAAAATAAAAAGGATTAAAAAGTAAAAAAAACTCATGAACTTTTTCTATAGGTGTTCCTAATATCCTTAAGTGAATGATGTTGCAAGAATGCCTATAATGTCGATGAAGTGGGTGCAATTGTGCAAAAGTACCTAAAGTCATTAAATTTGACTAACTTTTGTTAACATTGACCGTTAAAAAGAAGAAGCAAATATGAGATGAAAAATACTCATAAACTTTTCATCTATAAGTTCTTGGTATTTTTAAGTCAATAATGGTGCATGAATACCCATTAACTTTATAAAAGATATCATATAACTAAGTTTGGTCCTAACAATTTGGGTTTTTGGGCTTATTCCAGCTAACTCTAATACTTGAATTCTAAAATACTATTTTATTTTACTTTATTTAGTCAATTTCAATTTTATATTAAATAATGAATATTTTTCAATTTCTAATCTAATTTTAGTTTTATTTTATTAATAATAAAAAAAATCAAGTATTCGAGCCAAACCCATTCTGATTTGAGTTTGGCCCAGATTTTTTTAAGCATATTCAGGCTGGCACTTTAAGCTTGACCCAAATTACTAGATGTGACCTTTCCCAATCGATTAAAATAATTTGATGTTGGCTATGAAGTTCTAATAATAGAACTTAATGGATTGGGAAATGTCATATTTTATAAAATTAATGGGTACCATGTACGATTATTAACTTTAGGATACCATAAGCTCATAGAGAAAAAGTTTATATATATTTTTACACCTTATGTTTGCTTTCTTTTTTCTCTGCATAGTTAGTAGATTGAGGTCTTGTTTGTTAACAAAATTAGCTAGACAAATCACTCCACAAACAAAGAATAGCTATACACTACCACTCATAGAATTAAGAAAAAGCTCTTAGTCTGTCAATCCTTATTTTTCCTTTTTTATTGGTCAATGTTAACGAACGTTAGTTAAATTTAACAGTTTGCGCACTCTTGCACCCACTTCATCAATATCATGAGCACTCTTGCACCATTCTTCACTTAAAGATATAGGGTGACCCTAGTGAAAAAAATTCATGCATATTTTTACTCTTTAATTTAAACAGGATTAAAAATGAATATCTATAAAAAAAAATTCATAAAGTATTAGATTAGATCTAAATAGTCTAGATCTTGCCATGTGATACAAGAAAGGGTAGTGGGGTAGTAGAAGGAAGCCTCAAAGGAGCATAATATCACAAAGTGACAGCACATTAGCTTATTTTCACATTGTCATAACACTAATAGGGACACAATACAGACAACCATGTGTCCTCTTTATCACTATACATGATTACACCTTCTTTATATCTTTCTTATGCCTTTGGCATGAAATTATGGGCTATAACACACTGGGATCATTTATAAGATGAGACTATTCTAGTCATTCACACGTGAGGGGTTACGTAATGCTCTCACTAACATTACCATTTAACATTCCACACAATCTACCAAATAATTTAAAATCATTTTCTTTGAAAGGTTGGAATCCTAATATAAAGCATTTGAAACAAAATCTTTGAAATACACATGTTATAAAACATTACACAACAGAAGCATCACATTTAAACATGTAAGAGTCCATAAGGAAACATTTCTCAAACAACAAAACTCAGCCAAAACAAGGATAGTTAGAGCCGATAATTCAGGCGGGTCGGGCTCAATTCAAGCCAGGCTTAAAGTATCCTACTTCTTATAAAAAGCCCATATAGCCAAGCCCAACCTAACACCTTTGGGCTTCAGGCTTATTTGGGCTAGCCCGAATATCCAAAACTTTTTAAAAGTATTTTTTTCTTTATTTTTTAAACCAATTTTAATTTTTAAATAATTCTATTAAGCGTAAAATATTATTTTAATTTTAAAAGAATAAAATAAAAAATAACTTATTAACTTTATACTCAGGTAACTCTGTTATTATTTTGTTATATTATGTATAATTTATTCATGAATGTTTCCTTTACTTGAAAATTAATGTCTTAATTTTTTAAATATTACTCTTATCATAGTCATATATAAATATTTTATATATTTTAATTAAATTATATTATTTTAATTATGATTAAGTTGATCTCAATTCAATCATAATTAGATTACTAACTTAAAATTATTATCTTGATTAGTTTAAAGTTTTTAATAACTTTTAGGTAAATTGTATTTTTCATTTTCATGAATATAAAAAAAATTACCATCATTATATTATATAAAAAAATTATTTAATTATGTATAAAATATTATTTTTTAAAATTATTTTTCTTTAACTTTTTATATTGTTTAACTCTTATATATAAGGGATTCTTACTCTAGTTTACTCTTAATTTTTAACCAAATCTAGTATGGACAATAACCAAGTAATTACTCAAGAATATTATTCTATTTATTATGTTTATCTAGTAGTAGAGTCGGGAATTCGTTCATGCCTAAATTTTATTTTTAAAATTATTTTTAATTTAAAATTAATTATCTTAATTTAAAAAAATATAAAATTATTTTTTTATATGCAAATGATTTATAGGACTCAAAATTTTTTTTAAAAAAAATTAGGTCTTAAAATATTAAAATCAATATTAAAATATATTTTAAATATTATTTTGAGATATTTTATTAATTAAAAATAATAAAAATATGAAATATAACTATTTTTAATTGTTTTAAAAAAATAATTACATTAAAAAACTTATATATATATATATATATATAGTATTTTGGTATAAAATGATATAAAACTTAAAAAATTAATTAATATTTATCATGTTTTATATATTTTTTAAAAATTTATTTTTTTATTCGGGTATTCGGGCTAAGTTTGAACCCAATCAGGCTTGGCCTGAATTTTCTCAGGCCTATTCGAGCAGCTCGAATAAGCCTAAACAATAAAAAATTAATATTTTTTGGGCTTGGCTCTAAATTTTTCGGGTGGGTTCGAACTGCCTCGTCGGGCTTGACCTAAATTACTGACTCTAAGGGCAGTGTACCATGAAATATGGTACAGAGGCACTGACTCACATTCTATGCCGTGCGTTGCAGCATATTAACACATGCACTGTGGCACACACATTAGATTCTGCT